AAAATTACATTTAGAGGAAAATGAGATGTTTTCTTATGATCAATCGAGGCTGCTTGGTATTTTGATTACATGATGATGTGATGAAATTCTCATTGGTTTGTAGAGTTCAAAGCAACTAAGTACAACTCTTTGTAGTAATTGTGATTACCAAAACTCAGTCCCACTAAACAAGATATAATATTGATCTTTTTAGTGATAAGCGTGACTACCAAAGCTCAATCCCATTTATTAAGATAGTTCAGATAAATTACAGAAGTGTTAGAGAGAGAGATTGTACATTAAATAGATACAGCTCTTTGGGTGTTAAAGAACACAAATTATGCATGCTCTGCCAAGTATTTTGTAAAAAAAAGATTTCATTCGATTACACTTTGGTGCTTGATACAGAGAAGATTGCAAAGCAATACAATAAAATATTAAACATATTTTATATTACATGAATACATTATATTATAAATATTGAAATCTAATTTATTTTATTATATATTATATAATAAAAAATATAAAATACACTATATTATATTATGTTATATTATATATAATATATATTATATTATGCAATATATATTATATATCTATATTTAAATTATTAAGATATATTTGTATTATATATAGTATATATATTCATGTATATAGTATATTTTATTATTTAATATATAATAAAATAAATATAAAATACACTATATTATATATTGCAATATGTTATGGATATCATATATTTATATTCAAATTATTACCATATATTTGTTTTATACTATTATATATAATATATATTTATTTAATATAATATATTACACTACATAATATAAAATGTAATATATTTTGTTATATAAAATATATTTTAGGGAAATTTACGTAAATATCTATTTAGTTTCTATTATTACCAAAATACCAAATACTTTCTGTTATTACGGATATGTCTGTTTTTTGGACTTTGTAACAATTTTTTAAAAAAAGACGAAACTACTTTTTCAAAAATTGAAATCAAGCCAATTTTGGTTTTTGAAAATTCAAAATTTTTGGTTCTTGGGTCCTCTGCATGTTCTTTCTATTGACTAATCAAATTTTTTTAGATTCAATTTTTGAACAACCGAATTCTCTCTCTATATAGTTCTTTCACCCGCGTTTTACCCACTTTTTCCATTTAAACTCTTCTCCATGTTTATCCATTCTCTCTCTATACATTGCATTACATTGGGTGGGTTTAAACCTATGTTTATCCATTCTCTCTTAACGCATTACATTGGGTACGTTTTCAGAAATAAAGCAAAGTGGCAATTACAGAGATCCGTTATAAAAAACGTTCTTCGTTAATATTAGAAGAGACTACGTATTAGTTCTAGCCATTGAAACAGTATTGTAGAAGCAATGAATATTGGATGACTCTTTCTCTCTCTAAATTAGTCATTGGGAGAAGCAATGAATAATCTTGACTGCACGCTCACCAGCGTCTTGGTCTTCTTCCTCGCCTTCATTGACAAGGATCGATAGCTCATGACCTTCAAATTTGTTCCCCACCATCGAGATCGGCATGCAAAAAATTACAGAAAATGAAAAGCTTTGGTGTGTTGATGACCCGTGAAGAGATTTCGCGTCGATTTAAGCTTTTCAAGAGAATATCCAAACCAGGCCGAATTACTCTCTCAAGACGCTGGGTGAAACTTACCCAAAAAAGACGCTTCACCACCCTTGGTGAAGGGGAGAGAGAGAGAGTTCCAAGACACTGGGTGAAACTTACCTAAAGAAACAAAACCCGCGGTGAAAGAGAGAAAGAGTTGCAAAAAAATTGTTTTTACCAATGTAATGTAGAGAGAGGTGTTGGTGACGTGGAGAGAGTAAAAAAAAAAAAAGTTTTTATCGATGTAATGGAGAGAGAATATGCAGGGACTCAACCTTATTTTGGTTTTTCATGATTAGGATTTTTCAAAAATTGAAAATGAGTAGTTTCATTTTTTTAAAAAAAGTTGTTATGAAATAAAACAAAACAGACGTATTAGTGATAACCAAAAATATTTGATATTTTAGTAATAATGGAAACTAAAACAAATATTTAGGTAATTTTCCCTATAATTTATGTATGCAATAGATATTTACATTATGATATGTAGTATATATTATTTTATACTCTCACTTAACCGGTTGTCAAACATAGGTACTTAAAATTTCTTTAATATTCCAATTTATCAAATAAGATGATATTTACCTTCCAATTATCAAACATGCTTATGCGTATTCTAAATCTCCATACTTTCTCTCTCTTCTCTTAAAGGAGGGCATATTGATAATCCCATAAATATAAGAATCTATTTTGTTGAAGGGCTATCTCCCTCTCTTTCTCTCTTTATTTTCTCTCTCTTACTTATACTTTCTCTCTCTTCCGTTAAAGGTTTGCATCTCTCCTACAACTTAGAAAAAGAGCTTGGGCTTAATTGGTGCGTTCCAGGATTTGCAGCGTTATGTCATGTGCTCAATTCCAACCATTGGTAGGGGCCTCTCCCCACTTACTCACCCAAAAAAACCAAAAACAATGTCTCTCACTACCACTGTCCGTAGAATTAAGGTCTTTTTTTTTTTAAATTTTCGAAACACTTATCCATCTCTTAACTCTCACTTAACTATAGATATAGATAGTATATATAATTAAAAAAAAAAACATATTTTAAGGCTATTACAAAGATTTTCAGTATTGAAATCACATCTCTCAACAGAGATAATATATATAATTAAAAATAAAAATATATTTTAAAGCTATCACAAAGATTTTCAATATTAAAATCACATCTCTCAACAGTATTTGAAGGTGCGCTTTACTTTGATTGTTTCCAACAGGCTCTATACAAACTGTACCTAAAGATAAAGGACACGGTTTCTATCCGGCCAACCCACATATTGTAGAAATGCATGCTTGGCAATAAATATATTTTTTAAATATAATTTGATCCTAATTTTTAGAGAATACATAATCCTTATCATGGAAATCATGAATATAAAAAAATAATAATTTGAAAACTAAAAATAATAATTATATTAAAAAACATTCGGATTTATAGTTCCACTTTTTTTAAATGAACTACAAGTCCATCTTTAAGATGGATGCTTTACGCCTCTAAACCGCATAATGTAGAAATGCGGTCCAGCCCTCATGAAACAATTTTCCAAAGATAAATTATCTTTTTCTTCCGTGGACAATCGCATTTTCATCCCAAAACCGCCGCCTCACTCTAATCGCGCCCGTACATAAATAGGATGAGGTCCTTAACGATGCTTTACAAGGCACTACTTTCAGTCTTGATTTGAATTCTGCAACTTTGAGAAAACACATAGATGTTCCGTTTCTCTGAATTTGATAGCGGAGGTGGCCAATCTCCGTGGTTTCCAGAGTTTGGAATCCTCGTAACTACGTTTTTCTGGGGATTTAGAAGTTAAAGTGATTAAATATTTTTCTGGAAATTTTGGGTCGGTTATTCATGGATTCAGCTAATGAAAGCTCCATCAAAGTGGACGACCTAGATATGGATACTCTGGTTCACTGCACCAGTAGCCTTAACCTCCAAGACCTAGCGAACATGGCCGTGACTTGTCGAAGGTTCAGAGATGTGGCCTATTCCGACCATGTTTGGAACCGGCGGTTTAGGTATGTTTTTTATTTGAAATGTTTTTCGGATTGAATTTGATTACTGTATCTTATATGATGGTTCTTCTCTTTATATTCTATGCAACTATATGCGAGTTCGTTTACGTCCCTGTGGCTGAATTTTCTTTTGTTCGGTATCAATCATAGAAATTTCACTTCACCGAAATCCAGGACAAAAAAAAAGTTTGCTTCTAATTCCCTCTCCCAAACTAGAGAAAAAGGAAAAGAAATAAACAGAAAGTTATAAGAGAAACAAAATGAAAAACTCATAGAAGAATGCGTAATTCTTGTGTGATGAAGAATATGAGGCTGTTAGCCTAATACTTCCTGAATTTGGGTGCTTGAGCCTACTTTATTGTTTTTTGTTATGGAAGATAATAGACCCTAATCACCTGGTCCAAAGGCAAACCAGAACTACACCAATCCCTTAACAAGTCCTCAAGGAAACCCAAAAAACAATTACATTTAAGATTTACTCTGTGGCATTTGAGAACTTGTGGTAGAATCCTAATTTGAATTCTCTATTTCATTATTGTGACTTCTCTAGGCATTTGGGAGTTTCTAACTTGATTCTGGAGGTAATACACAAACACAAACATCTTCTCTCTGAACCTTTAAGAATGGATAAATAAATTTGTAACCATAAAATCTAGTCTGATCAATGATAACGCGAGCTAATACGATTTCAAGGACTGTGAGAGCTATATTTTTTGCAAGCATCCCTGAAAGTATACGTCATTGTTAGCATGTCTATAACTAGTTACCTCGCTTAATGGTGTGGGCTTTGGTGGATTATTGCAAACTACAATTCTAGCTCATAGTTTATACAAATTTCATGGGAACTCCTTGTTTTATCTTCATTTCTGTTAATTGCTAATTCCAATGGTGTTGTGTGCATTGACCATGCGTAATATATTGTTACAATGTTACACGGAGGGTTGCTATGATTCTGAAAATGAGTTTTTTAAATTCAATACATTGCAGAGTAGAATAATTAATTGCAATCTTCTTAAGAAATAACTATCAGTTATAAAGGGGTAATGAGGTGTCCCTTCTTTTACCCTACATGCTGATTATGTCTGTGACAGTTGTTGGACTATCATGACTGCTCATATAGGGCTATTTTAATCTTCGGGATGTCACATACAATCATATGATAAACATGGTGCTTGACATAAGGTAGTTAGTCTTGGACATCAGCGCATCTAATAAATCATATGCTTTATCATCTCTCGTGATTTTGATTGACATGTAGGGAGCGATGGCCAGTTGAATGTACACATTCTTATAATTCAAAATTTGGGGGCATTCGTGAAGCTTATTTGGCAAGGCTCACTTCACTCCAACAATTCAAATTTGCTGATCCTAGGATCCATCTATTGGATGCAGGACCAACACCTAGTAACCATATATTGCTGGACAAAAATAATGCTTTTATTAGTCAGGTAAGCTGCAGATTTCTTTGAGATAGATGAAATGATCTTTCAAAAGGGAAAAAATATACATGGGAAAAGGTTCAGTTCTCCATGGTTTTGCTACATATATGTCCAGATATGATTTCATAATGGATCAAAATGTCATCCTGGTTGAAGAGTAAAAATGTGGCTTCTGAAAGAAAACCTTTCATCGTGGTGTGCATTCATATTCATTCAACTGCCCCATACCCTGGCTGCTACTTGAGTATCAACCATATCTGACTGGCTGTTGTTTATCTAAAAAGAATAGAAATCTATTAGGTCAAATAGATTGAAATATCTATCCACCCCCTATTCCATGGTCGCTTGCTAAGTAGGAATCGTGAATTAAGCTTTCCTTGTTTTTCTTTTGGATAATTTGCATTTGTTTTTCTTTATGTCCTATTTGCGCATATAATACATTATTTAGAGAAATATTCATGGCGATGCATATCTTTAGCAGAAAAATGTGTGATGTCGCAGAAGATATCTTGGATTCACTTCCAGTTGGGTTCATTATGTTGAAAACTTTGTTTTTATCTGATTAGAAGGGAATAGTCTATACACTCATAAACATATCATAACAATTCAAGTACGCAAAACATGTAATTTATAATGGATTAGTCTATTTATAGTGGATTAGTTTATTTATGTAGTTTAGGTAGGCAGTTATGTCCGAGCTTGTGATTCAATTGACTAAAATGCTAATGCCAACTCCCTAGACTGGTGAATTTTGGTACCTTTCATTTGCAGAGCAATAATCTGGAACGTCTTCTACCATTTGGTTAAATAAGGTTTTATTAAATCTGTCGAGAGAGACAATTCAATTAATTACCCAATCAAATTGAGGATTAACTTCCATGTTTGAGCAATGTATGCATTTAAAATTCTTTAGGAGCGGTTGTTTGTTAAACACTGTTTTATTTTTTAGAGATTTTTTGTTAAACATTGTTTTGTGTTGGACATCGGTGTTTATGGATCATTATCCTAGATTTTAGTGCTTATTGCATGATCTTAGTTAGTGGTGCGCTATGACAGTTGTATTATTATTATCAGAAATCCACGATAATTAAATTTTATTTTTCTATAGAAAAAAAAACTTATATGTTCTACCAAATGCTTTTATTATATAATGAACAGTCCACATAGTTTTATTGGAAATACCTGTGGAGAGCAACTTATTCACTCAATCACTATCTGCATGTATAAATGGCTACAATTTTGTTGGAAATTATTTCACAAATGAAGTAATTTGTGTATTATCTATTTTATTTTCTTTTATTTTATTGCGATTTCTGCTTTTTATACGTGCATGTAATTCTACTCATAAAGTCTTTTGTTCTCAAAAAAATGATGCCATCGCTGATGATTAGGGTTCAGTCATATATAAGCTGAAGTTTGGTTCGGACCAAAGGCAACGACTAGCAGATCACAAAGCTAGGATTACTTGTTTAAGGTGAACTTTTTCCCTGAGAAATTTTGTTTATGGACATGTTATAAACTATATAATCGTTGCTTCTGCGTCTTTCTTTTGTAGCTTGCTAATGAAAAGTGACTAGTTGAAAATTTGACTACTGGTTATTGCAGTAATTTTTCTTGTCCAGATATAGGGGTTGTCCATCTTGGGGTTCTAATCCTGACCTGTGATGATGCTCATCTTTGCAGATTATTCTCACTTGGAAATATATCTTTCTTTCGAAGTGAAGAATCAAACAATGATAAGATTTTGGTGACCTCAAGTTGTGATCATACTATTCGTTTGTGGGGGAAGGTATAAAATGTACTTGAGTTTCGTCCCAGAATCACCTGTAATGTGGTATATGAGATACTTTGAGATGTCTATTTCTTGGCAAGAGGACAAGTTTCTCTTGGTAACATTGAGTATGATCTTTATGTGTAGTTGTGTTGGGTTGCAACCAAAATTACAAACTCAAATATCCTTGTCAGGAACTTATGCAATACCATAAAATGCTGAGAAGTGGCTGAATCCGTCTTTGTTGTTTTTGATATTCTTGATACCATGCATGATTATAGGATCAAATTTGGTAGCCTTTGGGTTGGACATATTGTTTAGAGAAACCAAATGTGGGAATGTGTGGCTATATAAAGAGAAAACGTTTATGAAGTGCCATGAACTAAGATATTGTGGGGATCTAGAAATAACACAAAAAAATGAAGTGTGGTTCCAAAATTTTGTTGATATCATGTACATTGATTCAGCGTTAAATCTGTGAAGTAATTGAAACTTTAGATTGTTGAGACAAAATTCTACTTTGAGAGTATGCATTGACTATGCAGAATCCTCATAAAGTCAAGACCACTTTCTTTTGAAATTAAAAAATTTGGAAGGCTATAATGATGCAATATATGGTTGCTAGGAGGGGAAATGGGTGTGGGAGATTATTTGAATATAATGTGCAGAAAATAGGATATCAGAAAGTCCTGAATTGGGAAGCACGAGAAGCTGACAACTACTTCGAAAAGCATAAACAATACAGTGAAGTAGGGAGGAAAATGCATTGGATTGTTTTCACAAGAATGAAATGAACATCATGACAAGTGCCTGGAAACATTGGGCGAACACAATGGATAGATTGAGGAAATAAGAGGGAACTATGTAGAAAGAAGGGAAGGCACCAAGCGGTTGTGGGGAATTGTGCCATTCATACACTTGTACTGCATAGTACTTATACACCTACAGTATCATGTGTTCCTCCATTATGAATCAGCTTTCCTTGAATTATGCTTCATAGCTTCGTGCACCCTTGGAAATAGATTAGATGGGAGTAGGACCTTGTGCACGTGCATGGGTAGGCTCACAAGTTATCCTTCTCGCAGGATTTGCAGTTTTGGAACAAATTCAACAAGCCACTTGTGAAACCCAAGATATGGATACTCCATTTTAAAATATGAAGTCTCGGTATCCATAAGCTATTCACTAAATGATGGACAAAATACTTATTTTAAGTTTTACTCTCTTGAACCATGTTGCTATGTTCAATTCTTCTATAAATAATCCCTAAATAACAATGTTTAAAAACTCGGCTCACCGAGGTGAACCGTCCATCGGAGAAACCGGTCCGGGTTGGCAAATCACCGATCGAGATTGGCGATCCAGCAGAGAAAATCGGCCAATAAAAAGTAAAAATTTGAGAACAAAACAAAAAATTGAAAAAATAATAAAAAATAAAATGTGGGGCTGGATCCATTGGTTCCCTGGCAAAACAGGACCGGCCAGTTCCTAATAGGAACTGCTGGTTCCCAATTCATTTTGGGAACCAGGACAGCCCACTGATTCCCGAATCGGATTAGGTGATTCTGATCCGACCTGGCGTTTTTTTAAAACATTGCTAAATAATGATACCGTATAATTGTGGACATTTTCTGATAGTTTGCATGAGTTGTGGGTTGCAGGATCGTTCGATGCGTTCTTTAAGGGGCCATGATGGCCCGGTTACCATTCTTTCAGATAAATTGTTGGGTGATCTTGGTGGACTGGTGCTTGCGAGTGGCGGAGAAGATGGCACAGTGCGCCTTTGGTCTCTTTCCTCTAAGGGCAGGCATGGTCGAAATGCTTTAAGAGCCACTCTTCATGGGCATGAGCATTCTGTGAGATTGCTCTCCGTTGCTGGGTATGTAACCAATGGCCAAACTTTGGATGAGTTATGTGCTCACATACTATTTTTTTTTTAAGCAGTCCTGAATGCAATGGCTAAATTTGGAGAATGCATAACAGAACTCAAGAAGGCTGCTGAGGCTAACGCATTAAAAAAAATAAAATTAAAGAACTCAAGAAGGCTGCTAAAAGGATTAATGAGCATGTATAGCATGCTCCCCAGGAGCATACTGTACATTAGATCCCTAGGGTAAAATCTATATTTTCGGATAATTTTTCTTATTTGGGGTTTTGGAATTCAACTAAGAATAACTAGGTGACTATTTTCAAATTTTTTATATAAAAAAGGTAGATTTTGGGTTCTTCAACACCTTGATCTTGTCCTCCGAACATTGGATGTTCCTCGTTCATTCATGGGATGTTATTTTCTCAAGAACATAAAATATGCGTTTTGAAATTTTTTTTTTGAGGTCCATTGCTACGTTCAAGAGGTCGCATCCCCAAAATTTGGGGTCCTAAAGGATTTCTAGTATGAGATTTGCCCGAGGGAGCAAATGGGCAGTATCCTCCCACTGGAGCGGCATATTTTTTTGCAGGATTGATTGTTATGCATATTTTTAGTTCCTCACAATTCTTACTCGCAAATATTTCTCCACAAACTAATGTCTTCTTTTGTATGCACACATTCATGTACATGTATACTTGAGCATCATCTCATTTTTCCAGTTATGTGGGAATTGACTCTATGCTACGCCTTTTCCTGTATACACTTAACGCAATTGATTTTCCACCATACCTAAAGGTGCAAGTTGTGCGTGGGATTTGTTAGTTCTCTATTGTTTGTGGTAGAAATTTACTTGTGCACCATGTCTTTTTCAGGCACAAGTCTTCACTCTTGGTGAGCGCTTCAAAAGATTCAAAGGTATGAAAACATCTTGCACTTATTATGCCATTGGCTTCTAAGTTGTAGCATATCTATACATGACCGAAACTGCACTTCTCTCGTATTGGGAGCTAATGGGTGTTTTAGCACTCTTAGATAGTTTTTACCTTGTGTCTGCAACAAACCCTTTTATGTTTGCTTTCTGTTCATAAGTCTTTATTCTGTTCCTTAATCTACTTTAATTTCTGTTAAATACAATGTGCAGAATTTCCTTTATTAGTTAATTTAAGTCATTGTAAACTTAGTTATATCTTGTGTTTCTCAAACCATTCCTTGTGTTTCTCAAACCATTCCTTGTGTTTCTCAAACCATTCCAAAACATTTTAAAGGGTGTGCTTTTATTCCTAAGTCGTGTGTGAAGGTTAAGTTGTAAGTGGAATAGTCACTATTCACCCAAGTGCCCTGAACTTATACCTTTGCACCCAGTATCTAACATTTTCTACTCATTCTTGAAACAAAATGTATAACTACGTCAAGGAGTCTATTAACATTAATGAAGCCATATACCTAATCAAAAGCCTCAATTATAGGAAAATATGTACTACAAAACAAACAGTAATCCTAAGCATGTGGTAGGTTTGTATTTGTGACTTTTCTTGATGAAGAGACTCAAAATTTGGCTGACTAATTAGTGTTCCAACAGTTGAGAGTTTGGGACTCTAGTGTTTCAACTGCATCTGGTTCGACAGCCTGTGTTGGCACTGCCCGTGTGTCTGGAGCACCTATTGGCATGAAATGCAATGAAGCTTTATGTTATGTTGGAGCTGGGTCTTCTTTGAATGTGATTGATTTGAGAACCATGAAGGCAGTCGCTTCTGTTGCCAGTGATGCTCACAAACTGCAGGCGCTTGAGGTGCTTCCAACTAAACATCTCATTTGCACTGGAGGAAGTGACAAGTAAGCATAATGATGCCATTGATTTTGTCAGTCTTTGTGAAGCTTTCTTTCAGGCAGTCTTCACGCAGAAAATATGGAAACTTCTAGTGAATTTTAGTGTTTGTGTGATTTTGTTGCTATTTGTCTTGTTTCTTTTTGTAAGGGAAAATGTAGCGAACACATCCATTCAGAATTTAATTCCATAAACTTTTTTGTGTGTTTTGTGTTTTGTGTTTTCTTTGGCTCCAGTACTAATGTTGGTGCTATAGCTGTAGTAGTCATTGTCTTAAGAGCGATCTTTCTCTTTTTGTTAATTTGTAGGGGACCTATTTTTCTGTTAGTGTGCTCGTCTCGAAAACAGTTTCAAAATCAGAAGATTATTCCTATTCAATTTTAAGAATTAGAATTAGATAGTTACATTAATTAAATGTAAGCATCCCATTCAAATGAATGAAAATCTGGATCACACTATTAGCTTGAACTGCACATGCTAGTAGGCTCGATCTTGTTGCTTGAATCATGCAATGGGACATTGCTTGTATTTTGGATGTCTTTTTCCTCTCTTTTTTTTTGTTTTTTTGTTTTTTGTGGGGTGGGGGGCACAGATTGGTATATGTAGTGGTTAAGTGGCTTCGCCACCCTGACCAACCAGGCCTCAGGCTCTCATTCCTTTTTGAGTCAGATCTTTTTTTCAGTATACAAACAATTGGCACATCATGATGATGATTATTGATGCTGCAATCATTATTATTATTTCAACTGCTGCCATTAGTGCTACTATAAAATTGGAAAGCATATCTTTTCTTTTTTGCAGGACTGCAAAACTGTGGGATATTAGGAAGTTACACGAAAAGGCAGAAGCCATGGCCGTGTTGGATGGGCATTTGGGACCTGTCACATGTGTGCACATGGACTCCTACAAGGTTGTCACTGGCGGGTCTGAAGACAGCTTCGTTAAGATATGGGAAACCGACACAGGTTTGGAAACATGCACTCTCCCTTGTGGTATCGAGGAAGATGAGACTGAAACTAGGTCTGTTTTGGCTACAATGGCTGTGGATAAGTTGAGAATAGTGACTAGTAGTTGCCGTGGAATGGTATCTCTCACCTTGCTGAGGGATTTTTCTGATTGTAAAGAACCCTTGTCTTCAAAAGTTGAGAATTTTGAGGGTGTTGAAGATGGCATTTCCAAGTTTTGGGATTCTAGTTTCCAGTCACATGGTGAGTGATTGTTTGGCTTTGCCTCTTTTTTGTGCCGATATACAGAAAAATATTATGGAGAATGTAGGGCGGAATGCTTTTTCTTCCCCCGCCTACCCCCCTTTGTTTTCCTTGTTTTAAAATATCCTTCTTTGGTTCGGATAATGACATTGTCCAATTTTAAAATTAGCAAACCAATACAAGTTTTTCAATTGTGGGGCGCCAGGTTGTTAATTGATATCACAAACCCGGGGTGGGTCCCAGCCCTAAAAAAATAGGGCCAGGACCAAAAAAGTTGCCTGAGGGTGGGGTTTGGGCTGGGCAACTATGGCTCAAGGGTAGGGCCACAGCCGGGGCTAGCCCGGTTCGACCCAGGCTGACCCTTTATTTCTTTATGTTTTTTGTTTTATTGTATTTGGTCCGGTCCAGCCCAGCCCAGCCCCTATGAATCCAGGGCTTGGTTAGGTTCAGGCCGGGCCTCGGCCAGCGATATGGGGTCTATGGCCATGGGTGGCCGTGTGCAAGTCCGGCCCGTTTCCAGGCCTACTCAACCCATACAACTAAAATGGGGAATAATATTACAGCACCAAAATTGATATTTTTATCCTAAAATACCACAAAACACTTATATGGTGGGCAATGTTCTAAACCTTTAGTCTCAAAGAGGGACTTGTGAATTTTCCCAAGGTCTTGAAAATAAATAATTTTGGACTACAGTATGTCTCATACTTCAAACACAACATTTTGAAAGGTTAATCTAGTAGAAGGTAGAACTAAGGCGTTTTTATATCTCCGGTGGAGGTGTTGATACTTTGGGTAGGGATGTCAACGAGCAGAACTAACCTGAGCGTAGCCATATTCAAGTTTGGCTTGCATGGTTGAAGGACTGGCTTGACCATATCATATGTAATGCGAAAAGATCTTTTTTCCGTGGGAGTATACAATCCATCTAGTCCCTGACGCAAAACCTGCATTAGGAATATCTTTTAGATCTTTTTGAGATGTGATCTTTTAGAACCCAACAATTAACCTCAAAGAAAAAAGAATTTAAATTTCACTCTCTATATACTTGGAAAAAAGGCCAAAGATTGCATGAAGCACCCAATGGAGGGAATGATCTAGATGTTCAAATAACTCAAAATATTTTTTTTAAAAATTAAATATCTAATTATAATTATATGGGTCTCAAAAATAAAAAATAATGTCCCTAAAAGTGTATTGCCCGAGGGAGTAAATATATAGTATGCTTCCGAGGGAGTATACTATATGACCTCGTATGTAATATATCATCTGTCTTACATAACCATTGGCAAATTTCCTTCCAGAGAAGATCTCAATATGGTGTGCTCTTTGTATATTATATAGCTTGGCTTAAGAATGGGTTTCCTTCCAGAGAAGATCTCAATATGGTGTGTTCCTTGTATATTATATAGCTTGGCTTAAGAATGGGGTTGGGGTCGTGGTCTTGTGCCCCAACTAAAATCTAAGCTTCCATTCTCACTTAACGCATTAAAAAACAAGTAACAATTTTAACAATAATAAAAATTACCTAACGCATTAAAAAACAAGTAATAATTTTAACAATAATAAAAAACAAAGGTAAACAATAATAAAAAACAAAGGTAAAGGCCAATGGGAGCCAAGGGGTTCTTTGATGGAGGGAAAGGGTTTAATGGATTTATGTGCTAACTTCCCATTATATTAATTTCCCATTCGATTCTTTTGTACTATTCTCTCTCTAAAATAAACTAAATACAGGTGTCTGGTGTGAGGAGATTATCGACAGTCAGTCTTAGGCGGTTGATCCTAGTTGAATCATCAGTTTTATACTCGTGATTATAATATAAATTCTTAAAGGAAAAAACTTGTCCAATAAAAGAGAAAATTTCCACGAAATATCAATTCCACCGATTTTCAAAACGTTTTTTTTAGGCATGAGTTCCATTTTTCTTCTTCTCTCTCATGAAAAATAAGTTCTCTAAGGGCCCGTTTGAAATTCATAGATTTTCAGTATCAAGGATTCCTGAAATCTCTTGGTTAGATAAACTATACAAAATTCATGGATTCCTCACAATTATTTCCATTTCCATTGATTGGTAATCAAACAGATTTTCATATTCTTAAGAACAAAAAAAAATGGTAATAATTTAATGAAACATGATTATTAGGTAAATAGTTATTACAAAATATTATTCAATTATTTAATTATGCAAAACACGAATATTGATAAACCAAAATAATTCTTAATAATGATTTAATAATGCATAATTACTCAACAAGACATAATCATTCTATAATATTCATGACCATCACCCTCCCTACAAAGCCATCAAAATATTCATAATATTGATGGCCATCACATTTACCATTCATAACATTCACGACCATCATATTCCCTACCATTCATTATTAACAAATCATGATTATCTAAAAAAATATGATTTTTATTAAAAATGGATATTTCATAAAACATAATTATTTAATCATGCATAATTACTCAACAAGACATAATTATTCTACAATATTCATGACTATCACATTTCCTACCATTTATGACATTCATGACCATCATAGTCCCTACCATTTATAACATTTATGACTATCATCTTCCCTACCGCTCATAACATTCATGACCATTTTCATCCTAGCATTTATGACATTCATGACCATCATATTCCCTACCATTTATAACATTTACGACTATCATATTCCCTACCACTCATAACATTCATGACCATTTTCAGTGTATAAAAGACCATCATATTCCCTACCATTTATAACATTTATGACCGTCATATTCCCTACTATTCATAGCATTCATGACCATTTTCACTCTATAAAACTTAATCACATTTGATAACTTTCATACAATCCATAACCATCATATTCTATAATATTCCATAACATTCACAAAATTCATGGCCTTATCAAGCACGATCCAAAAATAGTCATGACAATCAAGATGTGTATCATATTACCCAAAAAAAAACAGTATTAAACACGACAATCAGTACAACTTTCATAAATCCATTTGGCTCATCATTAAGTATTTTTAGTATACTACAAATCAATCACAAGCATCAAGTAGAAAGAACAACCAATCCTTGTGTAACTTCAACTCCATATCTATAAACATTGCTGCAATATTAGGGTGTTCGACAAGATATTTAATTGCTCTAAAATAATCATGGGATTTGAGTCCCTTAACCCTCTTCAGTTCTATCATCAACTCCTGATTATTTATAGCTCTCTGCCTCTTGCTAGTCATCTGTTCTATTGCATTACTAAAACAACCGCAATCTAAAAAATAGAAGCGGCAATTGCCTCACCCACACGACTTCTCTTCGTTTCTGGTTGTTTTCTTTTTGAAGCTGATGAAGTAGTACCCTGTTGGGATATGCCAAGTATAGAAGCTATTGATTCACCGAAGTCATAATCATCACCCCCTCACTACAACAATTGGACAAAGGACAGAGTAGAAAGAGCAAAGAGCCTCCTTCGATAAGAGAGCACGCACGCATGGCTGGCTTCTTCCACTTCAACTTATTAGCATTAACCGTGTTCCGCGGGGTTGTTTGGTGAAATTAGATGAATGAGGAGCTAATTAAAAAAGCTTGGGCAATCCTAGTATGCATCAGTATATGCAGACAATTATTCTTACTCAGCAACGTACATTCAAGAATTGTCTTTGCTACAGGTGGAAAGGTTTTGATGCATTTTACTTGAATAGTTTCATTTATGATTATGTAACTAACATGTAGTTAAATAAAGACAGTCAACAATAGTCTCGCCATAAATTTAATGTAATACACCAGGTTTTCTTTTCACCCATAGAACTTTCAAAGCAATGTGAAATTTATTGAACCATCTTTTATAAGCATGTTCAATATATATGTTGGTGAATATGATCTTATTGGGCTTAAATATCTTGTAGAGCGTTTGATAATGCATTATGTCCTACATTTTTGTATTACGGTTGTTTGTTATTTATTTACTTATGTTAATGGTGCTTATTTTTTTCTCTTTGATATTGTTGAAGTGCAGGTGGAAGAATGGAGGAATCAAGAATGGGACTGTCGCAATTGGAGTAATTTTCCCTCACCGAAAAAGCACTTGGCGGTGGCAGGGAAGGGATGATGTCAGAAATCTAGCAAATTGTTTTTTAGATGATCATGTTTTTTTTCGGGAAGTTCACCATGGGGCTATAGCAATTTGAGTAATTTTTACTCACCGGAAAAGCACTTACTGCTGGTAGGGAAAGGGTGATGCAGGAAATCTAGCATTTTTTTTTTTGAGATGATTGTTTGTTATACTCACATATGGATTTCTTTGAATGGAATGATGCATATTGAGAAAAGACTTGGATTGGTTTTAAAGAGGGGAGGAGAGAGAGAGATGTATATTGATGAAAAATGGTAATTGAATTTGTGTTTTTGTTAAGAGAGAGAGATGTATATTGATGAAAAATGGTAATTGAATTTGTATTTGTGTTAAGAAAGAGAGAGAGAATCTTTGGTGTGTCTTTTTATTTGCAATCTCTTATGTAATTGTTAATTGAGGATGATTGAAACATGAAATCGCATGCTATGTATTTTGGGAGTTGATTTGGATCTTGTTGAACTAAAGAATTAAACCAACTTACACCTATGTGGAAGAAGCAATTTCTTAATGGATGAATAGCCTCTAAGTCTATTGCCATTGAATTTATTTGTTAGACAACTATCTCTTAAATTGTATTAGGTATTTCATAACTTTTTATCTAAAAAATATTGGGCAGGTTTTTTACATATATTGACATTGCATTTACAGGTCTTTCATAATTTTTTCATTTTTTCAGTGGCTTGAAATCATCAAACTGGGTTTCGGGTCGGGTCAAGGGATCCTGAACAATAACGTAACAGGTGCAGGTTGGGTCTTGGGTCCTAATACATGTACTGGGTACGGGTACGAGCACGAGTATGGGGCACTCTGGATCCATCACGTTTGGGTCCGAGTATGGGTCCATCTAGTGCAATTTCGAGGTCGGCTCTGAGTACAGCTGGACCCAACCCATTGCCACCCCTATCTTCATTAGATAATAGACCGCAACTCTCCGCCCAACACAAAC